GTAAGCTTTTCGGTGAAGTAATTGTCGGTGAGTTGTACTGTCGACGAAATAAACTTTTCGGCGAATTAAGTTTGTCGACGAAATAATTGTTGGTGAATTTAGTGTCGACAAAATAAACATGTCGGTGAGGCGATTTAGGTGAAGTGTTGTTTCTACCAAAGGAGTGTCGGTGAAGTGATACGTATCCTTTAGATTTAGTATAATATTTACTTTTGTTATTGTCGTACATTAAGTTGTAACGGTAATATGTAATTTCAGGATTTTAGAGTGCACAAACAGAAATTAGCCCCTGCATCATTAATTAGGAAATACAACTTTAAGCAGATGCCTAACTTCAATCACGACATTAACATGAGAATTACCATTTATGTAAATGAATAGATTAATCTTGTTATTGAGCGATAATTTTTGCGTGGTGCTTTTTACCAAAACATAAGGTAAATAGGGGATCTCGCATAGATCGTTATTTATTGGTCTAGACTAAGTGTTTTAGTACCATTCGAAACGTCTCGATGAGATGAATCGAATGGCACCAAAATTATTTAGTTTGGATCACAGGATCACGAGTTATCAACAATTGTATGCACATAAAATTGATAGGGGTAATTTGGCGAATTGCAGTTATCTCGTGATTCCGTAATCAAATCAAGCAATTTTACCATTAATCGGTTTGTTGTTCAATTTCGATCACTGGGTCATGAGATATTGGCGTCCGAATGCGTCCGAAAATAATATATAAATTTTTGATATAAATATATTCGAACGCCAGTATCTCGTAACCCATTGATCGAAATCTAATGATTTTTGTACTGTTCGAATTGTTTCACTGATACGAATCGAAGGGTGGTAAAATTGGTTGATTTTGATCACGGGATCACGAGATACCTGCAATTCGCCAAATTACCCTTCTTTACCTTATTAGGTAATTATTTAGAAGGCATTTAACGGTAAATATTCTCAAACTTGAATGCTGGACATAGATAGGAACGTACAGTGAAGTCCTTTAATGCATTCATCGATACGTTCACCTTCACTTGTCCAGTCTTGAATTGCTTTCCAAGGGTCACATGCTTGATACCACATACCTATAAATAAAGCAAGTATGAATGGGCACATAGCTAAAATAATTATTGTAATACAAAGTAAAAATACGTACAGAGATAACATTTTTACAGAAGAGGGAAATATCGTGTTATAAAGGAAACAACGGAATATATTGTTACACTAATTTAAATAAACCTATTAATTTCTATCTGAAACTTGTAAATTTTTTTATAATAAAATTATTTTTGAACAAAAGTTTAATATCAGCTAATTCAAGAAATATTGAGAAATAATCTAATATTTGCATAAAAAGATAAACCATGGATAAATATTTTGGTCACTGAGTAATAAATTATTTGTTTGGATGGACAAATACTCAAATACCGTATGCTGCCCTTAAAGGGGTAAATAAGAAAGTAGTACGATAAATTAAACTTTAGGACGAATTAGAGCAATTATGAGTACGCTATGCTCATCAAAATATTTTTTTTTTAAAAAAAAAACATGCGATTAGTATTTTTATAATCTATTCTCGAAAAAAAAAATGTTTCCTTTGAAAAACCAAGTGTTATAAATTTAAAGGTGCAAAACGGCTCGAGCGGCTTGGATCTCTACTATAAATTCCTTAGGAGACTTTATTATACATATTGTGCTAGGAAAAAGGCCCGAAGCAATAAGTAATATTTATTGTCTGTTACACAGTATACACGCATACTGTATAGTGCCTTTTTACATCAATTGCAGTGTAACATGCGAACCAAAATTTATTGGTCAGAGCCACCTAACGCTAACTCTTCATTTATGTGCTTAGATTGTAATGATCCTCGCTACGCTTCGTACACTAAATATATCATAGTATTAATATAAAAACCGATTAATAAATAGAGTCGATTGAGCCATTAGCATCCCTACACGGGTATTATCAGTATAATGTGTCAATCAGAATATTTATAAAATGAAAAAACTAAACTCTTGTATCTTGTAATAAAATTTTGCAAGGAATTTTTTTGATAGATCCAAAGGTAATTTCATAACCGGAATTTGGAGATACATTCAATTTTTTAGAGAATGCAATGTTTTTCACATTACACCTGATCGTGCATCTTATTGGCTTTCTATTGCCCATGTATATACACGTAGCGTACAAATAGAAATAAATCAATATATAACACAATGCACTAATGTTTAAATATTTTGGTTAGTGAAACTTTAAAATAAAACTTATATATACTAAAAATTTATGTAGAAAAAAATGATTATAACTTATAAAAAAAACATGGGATTATCATTATCTAAGTATCGACAAAACGAAAATACTTTCGATACAATTTCACAATATATTTTCACAATCACTGGCATACCTAAAAAATTCGATCAGGAAGAAGAAATTGCAGGATTACGGCATAACCTTATTAGGGAAGTCTTTAATGGAAATTTCTCTTCACCTATTAGGAATGAATTAAATAATGGCGAACTAAAGATATTAGATGTTGGGTAATTAAACACCAAATGATTTATTATTTCATAAGAACCGAATTTAATTTGATTTATTTAATACTATTTTTTGTTTTTTTTTTTTGTTTGTTTTTTGTAGCTGTGGTTTTGGTACTTGGTTGTTCGAGATGTCGTCAGATTTCCAAAACTGTCAATTTGTTGGAGTGGATAAGACACCTCAACATTTTATTGCTAATAAGCCAAAGAATGTGGATTTTGTGTCGGCAGACGTTACTAAAGGACTTCCATTTAATGACGAATCATTTGACTTTATTCACATTCAAAACTTAGTTTTTGATCTGCGTGATAAACAATGGGACTCTTTAATTCGAGAATGCGTCCGGGTTTTAAGGCCCGGAGGTTATATTGAGGTAAAATTTGAAATACATGTTTTTATTTTATTTTATTTTTTTTATACAAGTTAACTTAAATATAAATCCTTTTCTATTCAGATAACTGAAACAAAATTTGGCGCGAAGAGCTTCGGCCCAGAACTTGAAAAATTGGAAAAAAATAGTAAGAAAATGTTAATCGATATAAATCTATTACTATATTTATTATTATATTATATATAAAGCTACTAATATTTTATTTTGCTAAATATAAATAGTGATTGATTTCCTTACCGAAAGGAAAATAAATACACTAATCGTTGATAGAATTGAAGATATAATGAATTCTAATAATTTACAAAATATTGTTCATTATGAAAGTTACTTTCCAGTTGGAACATGGAATAGTGATTTTGGAAACGCTTTTCAGACATTCAGTCGCGAAGCATTACGCGCCTCTATAACAAGATTTGGTAGTTCAAAAGATATAGATACTGAACTAAATAATATTATAGCAGAAGCCAATCAGTATCGAACTTATTTTAATGTACATAAATTTTTCTCGCAAAAAATTTAAAATTTAAAATTATGACTCTTTATTAAACTTTTCTCTCAAAGGATAAAATTAAATTGATTCACTCCTTTACTAAATTTTTTAGTTAATGTTTTATTAACTAAATCTAAAATAAAAATTAAGTGAAAAATAATAATAGCCTTAGATTTATATTTATTTTGTTTCATTAGATTTTTAAGTTTTCATTAAAGTTTTAATGGCTGAAAATGCCTAAATTTAAATTAAATTACAAAATTCAATCTCTGATTAATGATTAACCAATTTCAATAATAATAATGTAATTACATGTTTGTCTTGTAAATTCACAGTTCTTTATTAAGGATAGAGTTAGGTTTTTTTTTTGTCTAAAAAATCTATTTGAACGGCCAAATAATTAATTATTCGGATTACCCAATGCCTTACGAGTCGTCTTAATTGAATTTCAATTGAATTATAATTATAACATAAAAATTATAACAGGATGATAAGATCAGTACATATATTCACGATTAATTGTTTATTGAATATTCACTGAATATTTGAATGTCTAGTGTTTCGAAGACCCGTATCAAAGCTCGGCAGTTCAAACTCGATCTCGGCTGGTGGATACTCGCCCATAGACAGCCCATATTTAATCACCTGAACATTGAAAATTGTATACCATCTAATTGCTTGTACATTTTATTGTTTGCCTACATACTTTCATATAAAAAAAGACAACCCAAAAAAAAAATCAATTTTTTGCTATATGAGTTTTCTTTTGACAACACTCAAGTATAGCCAGTGATGGGTTCGGACATTGTCCCATCAATATTTTGGGAACATTGATGTCCTGGACAATATTCCATGTCCCATGTCCCTAAAAGTGTCCCAACATAACAATGTGTTCGGTGTAAACGTGAGAACTGATCCGGAATCTCTAATTATGGGTCTCACGGATATCAACAATCAATAAAACTAATCAAACCAACGCACTAAACTACTGAACTCTATCAACCCTAATGGTGGAAGGCACGATCGAGGCGTGGAAGACTTGGTCCGAGTTATTGGTCAAATAGAGCTCTTGATTACGTCACGAGGCTCTACTTCGCGATCACGGGTTTAGACTACTAACTATATGCGAATTTGATTATCGGGTGGGGGTAATTGAAGCGAACCTTTAAAGTCAGAATACTTGACTCTATGAGTCGAACTCTAATGAGTTCTGCAGACTTTAACTTAACTCACTGACTGACTAACTCCTTTATTATAGATGCCAAAGGCATCATATTTATAGTTTCTATGCTACTAATAGGTACAAAATGTACATGGTGTCTATTAGACGAAACGAAACCTACCCGAAACTAGTTTCGGATTTTATAAAAAAAATTCGAAACCCCGAAACCCCGAAACTATAATCCGAATCCCCCGAAACTATGCAACCAATCAGATTACAGGATATTGTAATCATAACAACAGTAAAACTTGGATGACAAAATATTTTACTATGAGTACTAAATTTGAGTACTAAGTAAAAGTTTTCAGCACAAAATTTTACATATAATTTATCCACCTAACAAATCTTACCTAACTCTAACCCTAAATGTTCGATTTTTAAAAATTTGAAAATTTTATAATAATCGATGTTTAGCTTTAAAATATTTAATAAAAATTTTTATTTTTCAAAAAATGCCTATAAATATTACTTATAAATTATTAAATAGTTTTGA